CTCCCAGGTTGGTGTAATCTGTTGCCACCCTGCGCTGCTGCCTCTGTATCAGAGGCAGCATGTGCAGCAACAAGCAGCCAGTCCATGAGGGGAACTGGTTTTTAAACTGGCTTCCCTCACAGACAAACTCCTGCCTGGAGTGGGACCGGAGAGCACTAGCTGCCAGCCCCACCCCCAGGGACTATAGAACAATCGAGTAACCAATAAGAATTCATGAGGTTAATCAACTATTCAATGAACCGATATTTAACATCCCTAATTATAAGTAGGGGCCTACCAAATTCATAGCCATGAAAAACATGGACCATGAAATCTGGACTTTTGTTTACTTTTATCCTATACAACATAGATTTCATAGGGGAGCAGCGTTCCCTGTAAGCTGTGCTCTTGCACGCCTGCTCAGTAATGCTTCTCCCTTATCCACAAGGCTTGATTTCGATTAGCAGAGTGCTCCTAGCTAGGTTTCTCTTTCTAATGGTGCTGCACATTTGCACATGCCATGGTGCACATGCAAATTATTCCTCACATGGATGGAAAAAGACTAGAGAGATGGTCCTGACCCAAAATGGAACTGTAAGGGTGTTGCAAGATTATTTTAGTGGGGCAGCAGTACTGCCACCTTTACTTTGCACTGTGTCTAGAGATGGGCAGCCATAGAGAAGGAAGGGTGGCAGTATGATACCATGCCATCCTTCCTTCTGTATTGCTGCTGGTGGCAGCTTTGCCTTCAGAGGTGGGCTTCTGGACAGCAGCCATTGCTTTCTAGCTGCCCATCTGAAGGCAGCATCACTGCCAGGAGCAGCACAAAAGTAAAGGTAGCAGTACCACCCTGCCCTCCCACAATAAACTTGTGACCTCACCCATCCACAACTCCTTTTTGGGTGAGGCCGCCATGTTAGGCATCCTGTCACCATCCATAGTCCCATCCACAACTCCTTTTTGGGTGAGGCCGCCTACAATTACAACACCATGAAATTTCAGATTTAAATAGCTGAAATCATGACATTTACCATTTTTAAAATCCTATGACCATTAAATTTACCAAAATTTACTGTAAATTTGGCAGGGCACAAAGTATAAAAGAGAATTACTGATCCTATCATCACGTTAAACTCTGTGAGCACCCTATGAATATATGTAGTACATCCGGCAAGGCTGAGATATAACATAAATATGTCTGAATCAAAATATAGGATGTGAACCTTTGCTTTGGTTGTAATTTCATGGTTTGGTCTAAGACTAAGTTCTCTAAATAAAGCATCAATGGAAGCTAAGAAATTAGTTAAATTAAATGTCAACCTTGAATTTCAAAATCTGGAATAAAATTCAATGTCACAGCAGTCATTTATAAACTTATCATAACCCATCCAGGATTTTGTTTTTAATTAGTGGTATGCAAGGGTTGGGAAGCAGCCCGTGGGACAGCTTAAGAACAACCATACTGGGTCAGACCAAAGGTCCATCTAGCCCAGTATCCTGTCTGCTGACAGTGGCAAATGCCAGATGCCCCAAAGTGAAGGCAAACAAGTAACCATCATGTGATCCCTCCTGTCACCCACTTCCAGACAGAGGCTAGCTTCATCATTGATCCCACTGATCAAATGGCGTAACATTCCATAGTAAGTTAATGGTGCAATGATCAATCTCTGATTATGAGACTGTTTGGGAGAAACATTAGAGTTTGTATGCAGCATAAGGCCCAGGTTTCTGGCCACAGCCAGTCAGCATCTGCTCTCCATCATTCTGTGTCATTTGGAGAAGACTGATATCTCGCATAGCAACCTGAGTGCATCAGGGAACTTATTAGCTGATGCCACTGCAATAAACCTTGGAGATTCAATGAAGCATAGCGTGACTCCCTGCCCTACCACCACACCCAGAATCCCTTCCTCCTCCTGGGGGAAGGGGAAACTGCACTCTCCCAGCAAACAGGAGTGTATGGGTTGGGGTGGTGAACATATGGATGCTGTGTGAGCCCTTGCTCTGCCACCATGCCCGGACCCCCTCCCTCCCACAGGCTCATGCCCCAGCCTGTGTTTTACCATGACTGCCACCAAACCAACTCCGGCTGCTTCCTTAAGAACATGGAGGGGTGCCTGCTGCATAGTGGCTGCATAAAAGAGTAACTGTGTCCTTGTACATAAAATATCTCTGTTGTTCCTTTCATGCTAATAAATTAGATTTTACGGTCTACAATGTATCTCCTGTAAAGTCTGCCCTTTATTTTTCATTACAGTGGGAAGAGCAGTGAGCCTGCTGGACATGCTCCTGGCTCTGCCAGCTGGCTGGCTGGCACAAATCCACAGGCTAAAAGGGAGTAGGGAAGACAGGTTCAAAGAGTGAACGCAGTCCGCTCACTTGGACAGAGAGCACTTAAGTGAATGGAGGAATACGCTGCTGGAGCTGTGCGTGGAGCATGAGGACAGGAGAGCTTGCAAGGAACTGGAAGTGAGGAACCAGGTGAGAGTCTTGTTGCCCATGGCAGATGTGATGGACTGCATGGAAGCTTTCCAGGATGCTTACAAACACAGATACCTCCTCCAGTCTTGCAGACCAACATTCCTGCCTCAAGTTCCATAGCCTCCTCCCCCATAGGCCCTACAGTGTGCAGGCAGGGGAGGGCAGCATAGTCAAGGGAAGTCTCACACTCAACCTGCAACAAAAAACAGGACTATGTAGCACTTTAAAGACTAACAAGATGGTTTATTAGGTGATGAGCTTTTGTGGGCCAGACCCACTTCCTCAGATCAAATAGTGGAAAAAAATTGTCACAACCATATATACCAAAGGATATAATTAAAATATACCAAAGGAATGCATCCTGAAGCAAAAGGCTGCCCTTTTCGCAATTGTGATCATGCCTCTCCTCTCCCCAAACTTCTACCCTGGATTCCTTTTCTGCCCCTGATGTGTTGCCTAAATAAAAACACGATTCCTTTTCTGCCCCTGATGTGTTGCCTAACTAAAAACACGTGATTTCTGAATAACAGTCTCTTTATTGCTTGTGTTGAAGGAGAGGGGGTTATAGGCAAGCACACTGAATGCAGGAACACCTCATTGAAAGCAGCATGCATGACTCTCAAAACTAGCCATTTGTAAAGCTGTCTTTCAAAGCCTCTCTGATTTGCACTGCCCCCTTGCTGTGCTTTCCTTATTGCTATGGTTGTCTGGCTCCTCAAAATCCCTCTCCCATCCTGCCAGATAACTTTCCCCCTTACTCTCACAAATATGGAGCCTTCACAATAGGAATGTTGGGTTCCTGAGGTCTGATCTAGTCAGTAGTCTGCAGAACCCCTTTAAACACTCAAAAGCATATTCTACTACCATTCTGCACTGCTCAGCCTGTAGTTGAACTGCTTCTTGTTATGCTCCAGGCTTCCTGTGTACTGTTTCATGAGCCACAAGAGCAAGAGGTAGGCCATGTCTCTGAGGATCACTATTGGCATTTCCACCTCTCCAATTGTAATTTTCCAGTCAGGGGAAAAAATTCCAGCTTGTAGCTTGCTGAACAGGCAGGAGTTCCTAAAGATGCACTCGTCATACACCTTTCCCTATCATCCCATGTTGATGTTGGTGAAACAGCCCTTGTGATTCACCAGCCTTTGCAGCAGCCTCGAGAAGTACCCATTGCAAGTTTTATGTACTCCTTGGCAAGTTGGTCAGGTGCCAAGATGAGGATACGCATTCCATCTATTGTCCCACCATAGTTAGGGAACCCCAGAACGGCAAACCCTCCACTATGTCCTCCATGTTTCCCAGAGTCACTACCCTCTGTAACAGAAGAGTATTGATTGCCGTGGCTACACGGATTGCAAAACTCCCACTATAGATTTCCCCATTCCAAATTGATTTCCAACTGACTGGTAACTAGCATTGCAAGCTTTCACAGAGCAGGTCTCATTCTGGTATTCTTACACTTCAGGGCAGGGAAAAGCAATTCACAAACTTCTATGAAAGTGGCCTTATGCATGTGGTTTTGCAGCAACTGCTGATCATCCCATACTTGCATCACAATGCTGTCCCACCAATCTGTGCTTGTCTGATGGCACTAGAACTGGCATTCCACTGATCAAATGCCAGTGGCATTTGCCAGTTGCTCAACTCAAGCGCTGCACAGAAGAGTATGTTCATGGCCTCCCATGATTCTTCCTCATTCCACCAGACCCTGGATATGGTCTGAAGCTCATGGAGTGGGAGAGCTTGGGTTCCCCATCTCCGTACCACTCGGTGGGGGATTCTCACTACTGTGCACAGTCCCATAATACTTCACAGGAAACCACTGAAGAAATTAAGATCACATTTACAAAAGCAGGGCAAACATTTCATAACCATACTCCCGCATATCAGTTCTTCACATCAACTATAGAGTCAATGGAAAGCCCAAACCTGAAACTTGCTGTCTTGCATATATTTTTTTGGCTTTAGGACAGAGATTTGTTTAAAGGGAAATCAAACTTGAGAAAGAAGGACTCACATTTGCCACAAAGGACAATATACAATAAAATACTTGTGTTCTGTTGAATTTCTGAGACAGCAGTGACAGATCATCTTTTGCTCTTTTTGTTTTTTGGGGTGATTTTGTTACACACTACATCCCTTTTTCATGTAACTATAAACTTTTAAAGATGAACATAGACATTTATAAAAATAGAGAAAATACATGCAGATTTTTTCCCCAGCAGCAACATTTGTGACTCAGAAACTTTACCCAACACAAGTGTACTTTTCACATATTTTATTAGCAATGAATACATACATAAAATATATGATTCTCCTTGGTAACTTGTTTCCATCCATTAAAGGAAAAGTCTGCTTCTCTCTGTCCTTACTGTAGAGCAAATTTTAGATCTACATATTACAATGTAAGAAATCTGTACAGGTTACTTCACATTAACTGCCATGTTCACATTAACTGCCATCAATTTAATGGCAAATAAGTATGTGAACGGAGAAGAAAATGGATGCCATATTTTCTAGATATGTAAACTACAGACTTCTTATTTTTATGCTGTGAAGCCCCCAATAATATTACTTTGCTTAAAAAATACCTTGAGCCTGGGAGATTTAATTGACTTGCGCCTTTGTATAGTCATTTATACCAGTGTAAAGTGAGTACAATGTGGTTGTAAAAAAATCAGAATAGTAGGGTCTAATAGGGTGGACTAAGCCCAGAGGCCCCTCCTGTCACACCCATCCCAGGAAAGGAGAAGTGGAAAAAGTCCTTAAAGTGGGCTAAAGAAGCTGTGGGGGGAAGCAGCCAATCAGGACCTGGGAGGGCCATATAAACAGGAGCTGCAGAGACAGAGATGGGAAATTCTTTGTTGGAATCAGAGTAGTGCAAATGGTGCTCCTGGCTGGCTAAAGGGAATTGCAGTACCACAGACAGGTCAGAGTTCATAGAATCCAGGGAAGTGATGAGCTACTGTCTGGCTTCTGCACCTGAACTTAGAAGAGCCCTGAGCTATGGGTGAGGCATGGGTGAAGGCTGTGGTGAAGTGGTCCAGGGAATGGAAAGCAAGTTAAAAGGACATGGCAGTCTGTGGCTGGACCTGCAGTAGTGGGTGGGCACAGATCCACACCATAGGCCAGTAGGTGAAGTGGCTTAAACTGGACAACAATAACTCCCAAACTGCTGAAATGCTAAGAGGCCCCACTAGAGAGCTGAGGCTAGAGCAGAACAAGAGGGTGAAACCATCACTTCCAAGGAGGACATTCTGGGTATATGGCCTGTAACTGGGCTGGAACTGTTTTTAAAAACTGTGGACATGCCTGACCAGAAGGGGTGCCATGCCGCTATATACTGTTTGACACTCTTTTTACAGAGGTAAAAATGATTACACAAGAGGTAACACACTGCAGGATCAGGGCCTCTTGAAAACATACATTTTACAGTTTGAGATCAAATGTTATACTGTTAATAATCACAGGTAAGGCACTTAGGGTAAAACAAGTTGTTCTAGGGTCATATAAATGTCATTAGAGATAATAAAGATATTTTAAATACTGCTTTGTGCTTTTGAAGTGGACAAAGTGGAATATAAGACATAAGGACATGCTTTAAAAGGTATTTTATATAAATAAAGCATATGTACTGTAGAAAAGAAAGACAAATAATTCCATACTTTATAAACTCTTACCTTGAACATAGTAGTGCTAGATTCAAAGCAAGTATTAATATATCTGATAGAAAAATGTGTACCTAAAAAGGATTTTGCACTCTTTTGAATGTCAGTTTGCATTACTGCATTAAGTTCAAGACATTTTCCGGATTTGTCATGATGTAACAAAATACAGTACTAGTAAAACAAATATTAAAATAAGAATAGAAATAACAAGCTCAGATATCCATTATCAAGTGATCCTTAGGGCACAAGCCTGAAACCAGTATTACAGTGTCCACTCCGATTTCTCCAGTTTTGCCCTTCCCGCGTTCTGATTCAAAAATGATCTGGCATAAGAAAGGAAAAAAATTCATTATGAGGAGGTAGCAAATGAGACCATTTAACCTCTGTTGAAGAGGAAAGAAAGTTATTTAACTAGAATGAGATAACGTATCAATTGAAAGGTTGTTTTCTTATCACTATCTAGGAAGACTTACCCACTTAAGATCCTTGATCTTTTTATAATTCTTATAATATATGAACTGCAGCAAGACCGATTGTCTTCTATGTTTATCTACAATACCAAATTGATTCTCAAAATGTAATTTACTACTGTTAAAGTACAGATAAAATGCTGTCTCAAAAAAACCCCAAGAACACATCACAATAGCGTAACATATATGTTGTTGATATGTGATGTTTGTATGCATTCCTTTTTGGGGGGACATTACAATTGTGAATTTGTCCTTTAACCTATTTTTGTTAATCTCAAAGGTGCCACAGGACTACGTTTTTAAAGTTACATACTAACATGGCCATTCCTCTGAGACTTTATTTGTATGTTTGGTTACTGAGTCCAGAATTTATTTTAGATACTTTTTCGTACTTATCTTTAGAGAATTTAGCCCCAGATCCTCAGAGGTATTTACACTCCTAACTTTTACTGAAATCAATAGATTTCAATGGAATTAAGTTAGAAGACTAATACTTTCAGGATCTAGGTCTTAAGGAAGCTGATTCTCATTTACACCCTTCTGGTCATGCAAAGGAGCCTTAAAGTGGCCACAGATAAAATTTATGCCCTAAGTAAAGCCTTTTGCACTTCTAAAGCTGTGTAAAGAGACCTTGCCCTAAATGAGAAGTGTCAGGGGGAAACCTTAATTATACCTGTTGCAATTCTTGAAGCAAGTTCTGGCCCCTGCTTAGCAAAGCAGCTGGAAAGATGGCTTAACTGTCTACCTGTGGATTCTCTTTTTTGGAATCCCAGGATGGTTAGGGCTGGCAAAATGTCTTTACACCATTCATCTCCTGCCCAGACTGGGACTGGAGTATATTCTGGTGATCCAGAGCTATCAGAATAGACCCTTGTAGTTGTGAGCTTTGGGTTGCTCTAATTCCCAGGACTATCCCATCCCCTGGCCAGCCCCAGGAACCAGGAGATGCCAAAGAAGGATAAACTCATCTTAAAGTCCAGTCTGGCACAAAACACAGCTCACATGGACAGGAATCTGACCCCCAGTGTATGTGTGTCATATACAGGAAACAAGTCTTTGTGTATGCAGTATCAGAAGTCGCAACGCCACCACATGTATCATGAATGTAGAGACAAAACTAATAAGCATGTTAACGCCCACTGGATACAGGATCTGCACTAACACTGATGATTGCACCTGCATTAGATACTCCCTCCTCCCACCTTTCTCATTAAAAGGTATTCGTGAAAACTCCCCCAAATCCAGGCTATTTGATGACGAGGATCATTCAGCACACCTCATCAACTTGTCAGGAAATGTTGCAAGCCAAACTGAAAGCTTTAATCTTTGCCATAGTTCTATCTTTAAGAGCAGTTGTGGTAGAAGTAAAAAAACATAATTTCTCAGTGCACTGAGACATAAAGGAGAGGCCTTAACTAGTTGTGATCATTAAAGAGCTGATGGAACTTTCACAAAGTGATAAGGTTCTTATTCTTAACATCTTGAGCAACTCAGGTAATTCAATTCTCTTTGGTTAAATTGACCCTGAAATTTTAAGAGAATTATTCTTTCTTTTGTTTCCTAGAAATTATTTGGTGGTGTTGGTAGCTTAGAATGGCTCCCATTTTCTAACATGGAGTTGGTTTTCTGTATTGATAACTAGTATGCATACAAAACAGTCTACAGAATGCTTAAAACCCAGTAAGTATAAAACACAAGCTGTTGTGTTAGTTCTTATAATTGGTTTCTGCCTTTACTTACATTTTTAGTAGTCTCTGATCCCTGAAGCATTTCTATTTTTCCAGTCCTCCACCTTTCATCTTTTCCTCTGCTCTGCTCCCAGGCAGGAGGAGCGCTTCTCTGGCTGCCCAGGAATACTCTGAGTTTCCCCACCCTCTCTCCAGCAAGGCGATAACTGAAAATCAAACAGTAGCTCCTCTTTGGCTTCAGGTCAGTGAGGAGAAGTTTCAGGCGGCCAATGTTCTTTTTGTGCCCCACAAAGGCTGGAACTGCCATGTAATATCCATCACCTTATGAGGGGAAGGAACAGACATCTGATGTGTTTTGTTGCATTCTCTGAAATATCTTTCTTAGTTAACTAAATAACAGTTTATTGAGATAATAAGCGAAAGCGTCATCACTTAACTAAAATCTAGTTTAGAAAAAAGTGTCAAACATACTATATAGGAAACAATGCGGCATGTCCAGAAGGATAGATTAGAATCAGTGGTTCCCAACCTTTTTTATACTGCTGACCAGCAAATCCATTCACAACTTTTGGTGGACTGGTCACATTTTATTTACATATTCATTATGGTAATTAATTTTAAGAGGTCACCTGTTATTTTATATCACATCTGTATGAACACAATACATGTTGTTGTAAAGGATCAGAATTTGCAGATACCTACAACACTAAAACATTCTGTTACAAGAATCCTTTCCTTTCTTATCTTGAGCCATAAACACCTATGTAAACTTTGTTTGAAATGCAATCATGCAAATATCATGAGGTAGGCCTTTTGTTCTGTCTGCAACCCACAGAGAAACAAGTTAGTAGGGTTGCCAGGTGTCCAGTATTGACCTGGACAGTCCGGTATTTTCACCTCTTGTCCGGTAAAAAATTCAGAAAATACCAGACACCTAAAATGTCCGGTATTTTCTGATTTTTTCCTGGCCAAGAGGCGAAAATCCCGGGTGCTTACCTGGTTCTGCAGGGAAGCTGTCTGGCCCAGAACAGGAAGACAAGATTGCTGCCAGCTGCCGCCAGTCTGTTAGGTCCAAAAAGCCTCAAAGGAATTTCTTAAAGGGTCCATGCTTTTTTAAAAACAATTTTTTAGCTTAATAACTCTCAGGGTCCTTTTTTTTTTTGCTCCGCAACTTCAGTCTCCCCCTTTTTGTTTCCTCAACAGAATTTTTCCCCTGGTGTTTTTTTGTGTGTGTAGGGGGGGTGTTCGGTATTTTTGGTTAAACCATTTGGCAACCCTACAAGTTAGACACCCCAAACTCCCCTCTGTCACTAACTCACTGCACTAGTTCCTACCACTGGAGAGAGGGAGACATGCATATCTAGCCCCCTAGACTGCATGTCCCATACATGAACTGGGAAGAGTAGCTCCAGCCTACTTGGCACTCCTGGGGAAGGCAGGAGCTGCTGCAACATGAGAAGCCAGCATGCTCCCACCTGCCTCCAGGACTGGGGGACACATTTGGGGCAGGCGGGAAGGTCTTACATCTCCACAGGGGGCCTCTGTCAGCAGTTCCCCCAGCAACACTTGGGTCCGTCCTGTCCTGGCCGCGCTGCTGCTCCACACCGGGGGAGAGGAGCTGGAGTAAACAGTTGGCCACGGGGGCAAAGCCATGGCAATTAGTGCTCTGCGGAGCAGGCGAGAGGCTGTGAGAAGGCCACTCGCTCCCCCCAGCAGCTCCTGCCCCCTGCTGAGCTGGGCAAAGGGGGGAAGGTGGCCAAGGGCCTGACACCCTCATCAGGCTGTGGGAGAGACCAGGACAGGGACCATGGGGGCGGGGGAAGTGCATATGCATGATTCGCACCCCACCCTGTGTACAGGCCTGTCAAGGCATGGGCATGGCCTGACAATGTGCCATGGCCTGGCAGCCGATGGTGTGTGGCCTGGGACTGGTCCATGGACGGGCGATTGGGAACCACTGGATTTTATGACATAATTATAGATGAAGGATAAGACTAATAATTTGAACAAAATGGCATTCTGTTTTCTTAGCAAGGAAATAAAGACTGAACACAGCACTTCATCTCTCCCTGTACTGTTGTTAGTCTGAAACATCCATATGTATTATGGCACTACCTAGGCTCAAACAAGATTGAAAGTTCACCATGCTAAATACTGTACAGAGTAATCAACAGTCCATGTCCCAAAATGCTTACAATCTAAATAGATGAGACAGACAAAAAGTAAGGAAAAGGAATAGAATACAGGAGGAAAGCAAACACCACAATAAAGAGCAAATCTCATTTTAATTCCATTGTTTGGGAGGGTGTTTTGGGATGAGGTGCTGCTGCAAAAGAATTATCTGAGAGGAGAGGCACAGGAAAGGAGAAGGGATCTGGAAGGGAAAAGGATGAGGAGACAAGAGGGATGGAGGACAGGTGGAGAGAGGCTGAGGTAAAGACTGAGAGGGAGGACACAGGAAATAGCTGGATCAAATGGCTAATCAGCACAAGGGAGAGAATGTCCAGAGTGAAAACTGGAGTGTAAAAGGGAGTATGTCTACAGCAATTACACAACGACAGGCCCTCACCCACACTTAGGTTCGGATGGTTGGGTGAGAGGAGTCCTGGGGCTTAAAGACTGTAAAACTGCTGTGTAGATATTTGGGCTTGGGTAGGAGCCCAAGCTCTAGGGCCTTTGAGAGGGAAGGAGCCCGGAGCTTACACCCAAGCAGAAGCCTGAACGTCTACATAGCAGTTTTTCAGTCTTGTAGCCAGTGTACTCATGGGGTGTGTATACACAGCAAAGTTGCTCCACTATTCCGCTATTTCGAAAAAGCCCCTCATCAGGGCCATTCTAAGTTATTCCTCCTGGGGCTCTAAATCGAGATAGCACATCTACATTAGTGAAGCCTGCCTCGGACTAATTGTGAGGCTTCCCTGCAGTGTAGACGTGCTATTTTTAAACAAATATTCCAGAATAGTTTATTCTGAAATAACTGTGCAGTGTAGAAGTAGCCATGGTAAACACCAGAGAGGAACTTGCCCAACAAGTGCAGGTCCTGACAGAATAGACAGCTGGCAGAATGGTAACATGTAGTACCTACATCTCTGCAACAAGTGAAAAACCTTTACTCTTGGCTATCTTAACTTGTAGTGTTCAGGAATTGTAAACTGGTACCAGCCACTGGTCTTTAATATACATAATGTTGAAATCAAGGTGAGCAGTGTGATTAAATTCCCTAACTGCCTGTGGAAAGTCTCCACTGACATCTCTAATGCTGTACCCATTGTTTTTATACCTTCTCTCTTACTACTTTACGCAAATTCAGTTGTGTTGAAATAAGTTGCGGGAGTATCCATTGCCTCCAAAACTTTTAAACATTATTTTTGAGAATTTGTTCTCCCCAAACGTAAAATGCTTACTGGAATTCCAACACCTGATGACAGCCAGCTTCTTCTTTTTGGAACAGAATTATCAAATTAAATCTTAGCAATAGTATATATTTTAAATACCATTTTCTCGATCAGCAGGATTCCAGTCAAAGTCATCATCGGTATCTTGTTTCCAGTTACAAATCCCTTGACTGAAGCTGCAATCAACTGACAATTTTGAAAAACATCATATGAGGAGAAAGAAAAAAAAGGCAGTACCCTGTATTATGATGTGACTCTTTGTGAAGTTTTATTTGCATAAGAAAATTATCTAAAACCTGTATTCAATAGCACTAATTTATATTAAAGCCCATAAAGGTATAACATTTAGAATCAATGCAACAATTCTTACCTTAACTCTTAATATGTGCTGTGACTAGTTACTGCAAGTATCAGAGGGGTAGCCGTGTTAGTCTGAATCTGCAAAAGCAGCGAGGAGTCCTGTGGCACCTTATAGACTAACTGAAGTGTAGGAGCATAAGCTTTCGTGGGCAAAGACCATGCATCTGATGAAGTGCTCCTACATTCAGTTAGTCTATAAGGTGCCACAGGACTCCTCGCCGCTAGTTACTGCAAGAGACCCCTTCCCCCTACCATTTTATACTGTGTTTGTTCAGTGATTTCCTTGCTGGCTTCCTTGTATAATTTTAATTGTTTGTTTGTTTATTTGGACCTATAAAGCCTGGAATGACCTGGGACCAGCCAATATGAGAAACTCTCTCTCTATTATATGATCAGCTCCTTCCATTTAAGAGAGCCATGACAGCATCCGCGAGGGGCCCTTGAGTTTGTAACTCGCACTCCGTACAATGCTTGATTTGAAATAATGAATGTATTGACTTTTAGGGCATACTAAAAAGACCTTATTGTTTGGCGCACAACATAGACTAATTCTATATTTGTAACTTGTATAAATTAGAAGGAATGAAATAAATACTGCACTGTACAATGCAGTAAACAAGCATAATGTGTCATATTCAGCCAGTCCTCTGAGTTTCCTTGCTTTTAGGGCTTTAAACCAAACCATTCAAATTCGTTTAATGTACTTCATTGTAGAGCTAAGACCGAGTATTGAGAAGGCATTATCTATGGTGCCTATCATTACTGTAAAGGCCCATTGTCACATGACTGCAGTTTACTGGAGGAAAAAATTATCATTGAGCTGAAATGTCTAATGCTTCTTCTCAGCCAAAAAGTATAGGGGATTTTTGTTATTGTTAAGATTTGGTAAAATGCCACTGGATCATTTTTTACTCAAACCTACCCCTTAAAGACACTCAAATGTCTGCTGACCCCAAATTCTCATCCCACTGCCAAGCCTGTATTCAGTGCTCAATCCACAGGAGACCTTTCATCCAGCTACACAGTAAGGCCTGTGGCAGTGCTGAATATGTAGTTGCTTTCCTGCAACTCCTCCAGCCCACCACATGGATTCTGGCTTTCTCCATACCTCCCAGCATCAGGCCCTTAATTATCTTCAACTTCCTGAAGTTCCCAATGTGCCCTACATCATATTTAACCTTCCTCAGGAGCCCTCAGGAGAACAGTGAGGTGGTCAAATCACACCTGATTAGTTTATTACACTTACAGAGTGAGTGAGAGCCTGTTGAATCTTGGTCCGTCCCATCGTTCTCCATGTTCTGCCTAGTGTTGCAGTGCTATGCATTATAATTCTCAGAAATTACTAGTGCTCTCTGAAGCCACAAGCTTTGTTTGAAAGGAAAGATAGGGGAAAAGGGTGCACAAGAAACACATGCTGCACAAGAAAATCAACACTGTAGTAAAAAGAAATAATTTACCTTCCTGCTCTGGTTTTGATTCTAGAACTTTTCTTTGTGCCCGGACAGGAGGACCAAAGGCCGCTGCTTCTTTAACCTTAGGAACTAATTACAAAAATTTGTCAGTGCAAAATAATTTACTTGAACACAGAAAATAATTTGCTTGGAACACAGAATTAAACTGTTTTACCATCATATAGCTTTCATGATGTAATATGTTTATCTGCAACACTACTAAACCTACACACCAAGTCCAGCCACCAGGTAGGTGCCAACTTTGAACTTTAAAAACAACAAACTTTTAATATTGACCAAGTCAGCAAATGAAATTTGTTTGAACTGCTGACTACCGGGACTTTATATTTTACCCTGAAGCCAACAGAGTCAAGTACCCATTAACATGTTATTTTTGATATAATGCCACAAGCTTTAGCCCTGTGATTTAAGCACAGAGCTGTGGGATATTACAAAGTCAGTGACCTCATGCTTTGGCAGCAAACTGAAAACAGTAACTATAGCATACTCAGAATGTTAAAAATTCCACAAAAGCCCATAAAACATTTTGGTTGCATCTACACTGGCATCCGTGCCAGTGTAGATGCTCTCTTGTGCAAGAAAGCGCCGATGGCCATTTTAGCCATCGGGCTTTCTTGCGCAAGAAATTAACGTTGCTGTCTACACTGGCCCTCTTGTGCAAGAATACTCTTGGCTTGTCCCTAAGTGGGAGCGTCAGAGTATTTGCACAAGAACCACTGATTTTGTACATTACAAAGTCAGTGTTCTTGCGCAAATACTCGCGGCCAGTGTAGACAGGCGGCAAGATTTTGCACAAAAGCAGGTGCTTTTGCACAAAATCTTGCCAATGTAGACACAGCCTTTAGGTTCAGTTGTGCTTTGAACACACCGCCCTGCACTGGGGCAGTGGCAAGTGCACTGTCAGAGCAGGAGATCAAAGAGGTACCACCTGTTAGAAGATACAATATGTGCTCCCCTCCAAGCCTAACAGCTGGCTAGTGTGGAGGGATGGCAGGCCCAGGTGCTATCTGAATTGTTTTGAATGTTTGGGATTCTGAACAAATTTTCACATAAAAACTGGTCTAAGCCACCCTTGGAAGAGTTAGCATAGGTTTACTGCAGCATTGGAAACAGGAGATGTGTTCTCTGTTGTCCATATCTCTGTTGTTTCATAACTGTCCAACGGGGGTGCTCAAACAACAAGTCATATTGCTTTTGTGAGCATCAGTCCAGGATACGGAACCAAACCAAACCCTCTTCAACCTGCATGATCTACTCCAGCCTGGAGGACTGGCAAACTAAGGTGTTCAACTGATTGTCTTCCTGATGTTTTGAGATGCAGTCTCTCATTGTTTTGCACTATGTTAAGTGATTACTAAAAAAGGAGCAGCACTACTATAAAAGACAACATGGAGATGTCTACATAGAAACAGTACAGCTACTCTCAAATAGCATGATAGAGAATTCAGCTTCCAGTGATGGAGGATAGAAAGAGCTTGAAGGTACTACTGGGGAGTAACACAAACCCTTGTACAATTACTTATTAACAGTGTTATCTTGGCAGTTCTTTAGGCAGAAGTGCACTAAACATCCACAGAACACAAACAGTGCAGTTATAAGTTCAGATTTCCCTCACACTGCCAGACCAGAGGAGTTACAGAAATTATACAATTGCTTCTCTGTGCCTCAGGATTCTATTGTTCACCTACCACTCTAATATTTTTAAAAAAATTCTTTCCCATGCATGAACATGACATATAATTTAGATGCAAGTTTGATCCAAATATGTATCATCACTAATCTAGGGCCTGTTTCAGCGATACACTTAAGCATGTACTTGAGCCCCCTGAAGATCAAGACAAACCACCTTCTTAAATGAATGGAGCCTCTAGCGCCTTAAGTCACCTTCTGAATCTTTCTTTTACTGCCAGAGTGACAAAAAGATTTTCCTGGACCCAAGTCTGAATGATGTTTGAGACAGCTGTTGCTAAAAAAATCCTGTGCACCCATCAGATAATACACACATATACACACTGGCCCTTAAGGCAGCTAGAACTGGGCAGAGAAAAGAGACCTTTGAAATGCTATGTTCACTTTGATGGATTGCTAAGAGCTTGTTTTCTCTTGTTGCACTTGCAGCCTTCACCTCACCAAGATCATTGCTTAAATCACTTGGATAATGATCTTACCTCAGGCTAAGACTAATATATATGTATTTCTGTTTCTTTACCTAGGAACAAGTACATAGAGACTGAGTGTTAGGCCTGCAGTAACATTGCACTGTCATTACACATATCTGGGCACACCATTAGCAAAAGAATCTGACACTCTAAGAATGCTTGCCAAACTGAAAAAAGCAACTTTAGTATGATTTGTTCTGGGAAGAGCAAATAGATTTACTAAAGATAGGAGCTATCAGAATGGTTTATTGAATTACAGTACATTTTCTCTTGGGAGATGTATCCTCTGTGTAATTATGTGCTACACATACTCCAAATGAAGAATTGTCTTCAAAATACAGTATAACAAGGAGGCAAACTTTGTCTCAAAGCCTGTTTTTTATTTTCAGCATCAAGTGTTATACTCAGGCTATGTCTACACGGCTGCTTTTTACTGGAAAAAGATATGCAAATTGCATTGTGCAATTTGCGTACCTTTTTTTGATAGTTTTGTTGGAGGAGGCTTTTCTGAAAGTTTGCCCATCTACACAGGGCTAAATTTCAGAAAAAACTCCTCTTTCGGAAGAACCCTTCTTCCTTGTGGCACGAGGAAGACAGGGCTTCCGAAACAGCGTGTCTGCTCTTCCGCAAAA